TCATTGCCTTTCAAAGCATTCCTAACTCTTCCAAAACTAGGTGCTCTGCACAGATATGCAGGCATCCAATTTATGAGACACACAGACAAGGAGCAGCTGAAAAAGCTAAATATAGAGTTATCACATCATTCAATATGCATTCATTAAATCTGTGTTATCACAGGCCCTGCTACGCAAGGACAGTATGACAGCTTCTCCCTCCAGATGCCGGTAGTTGTGGCAGACATGCACGTGACCAAACCATTGCCGAGCACCACGAGTACTGACAGAGACCTGCTGGCCAGGTGCAACACAGCACAGAAGGTAGGCGGGAGGAGCCTGGGAAAGCACCTCAGACTCAGATTAGACTAGAACCAGTTCAGCAGCTAACTAGTTATATAACTGAGCCAGTTATTTAACCTATTACATGGCTTCCCAATCAATAGAGTGAGGGCAACAATAGCCATACAGCTAGCTTGCTGTAAGAAGAGATATCACATACATAGGGTAGTCAGCATGGTTTCTTGAAAATAATAAGCACTTGATAAATTATAGCATTTTTACCTTATTATTATCACTGGTCCACCTTGAAAAAAAGCTATCAGTCATTTCTGATGCCTCACTGGCAGTAGCTATTGGAAAAATACTTGTTTACCACTATAGGGACAGTCAACAAATACAGCAGCCAATGTTACTATAGCTGCTTAACACGTTACTATTTCTACCATCTGCCAATATACAGTAAATATGGAACAAGAAAAATGTAAAGTGGAAATTTAAAGAATATCAAATTGTTAAAAGAATAATTATAATACAGGCCACCCAGAGGCATCACAAGGGTACTAAAGGGAAAAGAGACCAGGGATGGAATGGAATCGGCAAGTCTCTTTGAGACTGCAGGTATCATGCTAGCGACCTTGTCTTTAGCCTAACAGGCAATGCAGAGGCACCAGCAGGTGAGGCAAAACGTTTCGTAATCTATTGCTTTAACATTTCTATTGTTGTATGCAAACTGAATACAGCATTATGTAAGTTCATGCTTATGTTTCTTTCATGACAGGGTGTTCCTATGATATATGCAATTGACAACATTCTGTCAACTGTATCATCATGAAAATGAATCCTATATTGTTTTAAGGCAATGGTAAGTTAGAAATAGGAATGCTAGATGCCTCCAAAGGAAGATACTTTACTACTTGTCTCCCTGCTGTTAGTAAGGTGTTCCCCCTCCCTTGCTTTCACTCACTACGCACTTACTCAATGCCTGCCATACACTGTGCCACACACGATGCTGGATGCTTGATAAAATCTTAGCAGTGCATCTCATGTCGAGAGTAATGCGTGTCTTCTATTCCCGTGGAGATTTATTTAATCAAATGTATTCTCAACCCCCTTATTTTTCCACACCATACTGTTAAAATAATAGGATACAAACCTTGGTGTTTTCCTTTAAATAATTTTCCCTTTAAATTGTTCGATAATTTCTTTTTAAAGCTGGTAAAAGGGTTTAAAGAAAAAAATCTCAAGAGGCAGGTGAATGTGAAATGGAGAGAACGAAGGTGGAGGAGAAGGGCCCAGTGAGGATTCCCCTTCCAGAAACATGGGGAAGCTAAGGCCTACCAAGAAAACTCTCAGGCACCCCTCACTCTGAGGGCAATAAAGCAGCTGAACAGTTGCTGCAAGAGCAGGATCCTTCTGTTTCCTTACAGAAAAAAAAACACTTTGCTCTGCCATTTTTGTCTCTGTTCCTCTTCTCTATTTTTTAATGGTGGGCACTCTTCAGCGCTCTTTAGATAAGCCAGGTAATTTCTGAGAGCAGCCTCCGCGCCTGAGAGGAAAGTGGAAAAGGCCATGGATGGCTGGGTGCAGGTGCAAGTGCAAGTGCAAGTGCAGGTGCAGGCACGGGCCCAAGGACCACCCTGTAGGGCTCCCTCCTGTTGTTTTCCCACCAAGACTCGGGCAGCCACGGGCAGCCATACGAGCCCTCTGCAGCTCAGTTTCCTCTTCTGCCACGCAGGTTGTGTCTGCGGGTGGCAAGCTCTGGGTTCGGCCATCCAGATGAGGAGGGGTGAAGGTCATGTCAAAGTGAAAAGCTCTTATTCCAGACGGTGTGGCTCTATTCCTCTTGCATTCCTTTGTGTCTTTCCTTCTGTCCCAGGAGCTCTGGGGGGTGCTCCTCCCCAGAGTGCACAATGGCCTGGGCCACGCTGCTTGGAAAGCACACAGGAGTGGGAAGCTGTCTATGGTGTGGTTTCCACCCTGGAAGCCCATTGGCTCCACTGCCAGCTTCTGCAGCCTCTTCTGGCCAGAGTGTTTAGGCGTCAAGATTTATGGCTACACTGTGGTTTCTCCAAGTCCTTTTATGAAGAAGGTTCTTCTTTTATCCCTGCTTCCCTTCACTCCTTTACGGGACCACTACTGTGTGGGGTAGCTCTGGAGACAGATTCGAGGTAGTTCTGCCTCAAGCTGGCAATGTGGGAGGCAGACCAACATTACACACACTCTGAAGCACCAACTTCATAATTGTAACTTAGTGACCATCAGAACTGGTTATCCCTTTAATGGCCGTCCATGAACTTGACATCTGGTAACTCCTTGGTGTACTAGAACGTTATGCTTAGCATGTTCCATTCATCTTTTTCTAAAGATGCTCCCTTGGAGCATCCATGTGAACTTGGCAGCCCTGGCATTGCGTTAGGTGGTGAGCTCTAGGATTTGCTATACATTGCTGCATTAGCTATTGCAACCATGCAATCCATATTCCAAGAACTATTTGGTTAGTCACTTCAGAGTTGATACACGAAATCTTTCCTTGTGTTGCTTCCTTACCTGAACTTAGCTACTAAGGGTCCATCTCTCCCTGATAATATATATCTTTTCAATGTTATTATAAAATGCATTTTTATGCATACTGTTTTCCTTCCTACCTACTACACATCCCCCGCGTCTACTGGTCTTCATGAGCTGTGTCTCACATTTATTGGAAACACAGCAAGACTGCCCCAGCTCTTAGCATATTTTATTTTTACAGAGATTCACTTGCTTTTACAAGTGTTGAAGCAAAGTGTTAAGTAAAAGTTGACATGCCTGTGACTTAGTTTTAAATAGCAAGTCACAATCATCCTGCACTGAAGTACTCAATAAATTCGACATATAAATCATCTACAGTTACTAAAAAGATCTAGCTAGGAAAATATGAACAACAACACTGAAATTGCTAAGTCTCTTCATTATACATTTATTTATTTATTTGTTTATTTATTTGATAGTCAGAGTGGATAGTGAGAGAGAGAGAGAGAGAGAGAGAGAGAGAGAGAAAGGTCTTCCTTTTGCCGTTGGTTCACCCTCCAGTGGCCGCCGCGGCTGGCGCGCTGTGGCCGGCGCATCTCGCTGATCCGAAGGCAGGAGCCAGGTACTTATCCTGGTCTCCCATGCAGGTGCAGGGCCCAAGGGCTTGGGCCATCCTCCACTGCACTCCCTGGCCACAGCAGAGAGCTGGCCTGGAAGAGGGGCAACCGCCGGACAGAATCCGGCACCCCGACCGGGACTAGAACCCGGTGTGCCGGCGCCGCAGGCGGAGGATCAGCCTATTGAGCCACGGCGCCGGCCTCATTATACATTTATAATTAACAGTCAGACTGTTGTCAACTCCAGAATGGCTAAAGGATGCTGTTGATATTTCCGAGGCTGTTCAACAAAAACTTAACCCAGTGTAGACCTAAAGTCAACAGAAATCCTTTTTAAAATGCTAAGAGATTCACTTACATTTATGCATTTTTGAAACTGCATAAAATTTTAGCTCTTTGAAATGTTATGTGCTGTACAAACTGCAAAAAACACATTTATTAAAGATAAGTGGCTTGTTTCCATAACTTACATATGACTTTCCAATAGCAGTTAACAGATCTTATGTCTATAACTAAAGACATGAAGAAATTATTATTTTATTTCTCAAGCAATAGTCCAGGGGCAGTGTATATTTTCTCACTTAAACAGTTGCTCCCTTGTCCATAGGCTTTATTCCTAATTTAAAAATAATTAATTGATGTAGAAGGCAGAGAAAGAAAGAGTCAGATTAAGGGGAGAATCAGATCTCCCCTCCACTGGCTTACTCCCCAAATGCCTGCAACAGCTGGGGTTGGAGCAGGCTGGAAGCTGGGAACCAGGAACTCAATCTGGGTCTTCCCCATGTGTTAGAGGGACCCCACCAGTTAAGTCATCACTGTTGCCTCCCAGGATACACATGAGCAGGAAGCTGGAATTGGGAGCGGAACCATTACTCAAACCCAAGCACCCTAACACGGGATATGGTTGTCCTAAGCAATGTCTTAACAGCAAAGTCAAATTCTGCCTTGCCTCTGTTTGGTCCTATTTAAGTGGCATTTGTCATCACATTCCATAGTTACTTGGACATATGTCCATTTATCTAGTTTGACATTGAGCATGCTGATCTATGGATGGTTAAAAAGGAGACCAGGGGTCGGATCACCTTCTTCTTTGTTCACAGTGAGCCCAGATGAATCAAGTGGAAGGGTATCAGGCCCTGGGTTCCCTAGATTCCACTCAAAACTAAGCATCTCCAGAGGAGGGGATAACACAGAAGAACCCTTTCCCAACTTAACTGAGACAGCCAAAAATAGTTCAGATAACCCATCTGTGACTGTTAGCTGCAAAAAATTAATGCAATATATCAGCAGTTCTGAACTAGACAAGGGTTCAAAATGGGGACACCGAGGCAAATTTATGTGATGGAAAAGGAATGACTACAAAGGTAAAACAAAGCACTGAGACAAGGTAGCAAATATCGAAAAATGCGGGTAACATTAATTAATGATGAAGGAGGAGACAAAACATGTAGGCTAAGAAGCAGATCTGAAAGTCTCGATTCATTCTTGATCACATAGGACGACAACCACAGGTAGAAGTGGGTTGCAGTGGCTCTCATGAGAAGACACTGAGGCTGCCACGTGGTCGGGCTTGCTTAGTACCCGTGTCGTGGTTCAATGGGTGTTTTTCCTTACCTGCAGATGCTCTAAGATATAGGGCGGGTTTGTCATGCCAAGCCTCAGCATTGCTCCCTCAGGAATCACGTCAACAAGCTTCCACAGCAGCGTGGGGAGATCAGTGCCAATATCTCTGCCGTAGGCCCCTGTGTCCTCGCTGGTCAGCCATATCTCACAGACGCCCTCTAGGAATCAAAGGAGATAACGAACCAATCTGTTAGGGAGCTGCTTCCTGTGGGACGGCTGCTCACCCTCTCTAATGCGGTGTTTCTCTACCCCATTATGCAGGCAGGCTGGGTATCCAACTGCAGAGAAAAAGCAGCTTATCCCACGGCGGCAGCAGGTTATTAAGTCCATTTTATGAACGCCAGAGAGTTACAACAATGCCGTAAATTATCAGAGCATCCTGTGAAGTGATTAACATTCACAGCCAATCAGTTCGGCTGCGCTTCCTCTGAAGCACTTTGATCAAGACTAAAGCTTCATGCCACCTCGGAGAATACCTATTTTATTGAACGTCATAAGCCCTGGAACTGAAGCAGGCACTCCACAGAACGGGTACCATCAGCAGCTAGCTCACTCATCTGTCTGTCACCAGACCACAAAACAATGTCAAGTGTGGTGAAGGTTTAACTCTCAGGATTTCTCCGGTAGTAACTACTCAAATCTGTCCTCTTCATTCAATTAAAATTAGTATTCATTTTATTGCTACATTCAGAAAAGCTGGTTGCTGTGTAAGCTGTTTGTGTTGGGAAATCTGTTCACAGATAGCTTGCATCCTACTTCCCATCAACCAGACTAGGAAAAGGGGTGTACACACACACACACGTACATTCTGCAGATAATCTGGGTACTATAAATGTGTATGTGTGTCTATGTGTATGCATTGGTGTATATATATATATATATATATTATTGTTCTTATAAAGAATCCTGACTTCAACTATGACAGCTTGTAAAAACATCTTCCTGAAAACCAAGAGGAAATGCTTTTGGATCACTGGGTGTTACTTAAAATGATAAAAGAGAGTTAGCAAGAGCCATCCAGATTTTCATGGTCCACACACACAACCTTTCAGAACCCATACGCAGTCAAGGATGAGCCTATTTTATAAAGCCGAATGACTGACAGGGCTAAAACACACAGGGAACTGAGCCTGTGAAATCGGTCCCCGCGCAAGTGATTTGCTGCTCTGAAGAATCCAGTGCACACAAACAGGCCACTAAACTGAGACTTTAGCTTGAACCGAGGTAGATGTTTCTAGAAAGTGTCTTAAAATTATAATTGTAAATTGTTTTAGTTGACAGAACAGAAGAATTTCAAAAATACATTTGAATATTCCTCATCAAGAGGGCCAACAACAACAACAAAAAACCCACACAGGTTTCTCTGTGAGTGTAGACTTCAAATTTAAGACTAAAAAAGCAGAAAATAAAGATCTGTACTTAACCTTTAAAATGGTCCACAGAGGTGGAAAAACATATAGCACAAAGTTAAGATCTCTATGTTTCTGCCCTTAAGAGAGATATTTACTTTAATAAAAAACTACCCAATCTGCATAGAAACATTTTCACATTTCCCCTCATGTCTATCTCTCTGAGACATGCATATCCTCTCCCATACACACATACATCATGGAAAATGCAGAGAGCAAGATAAAACTTTAGCCTTCCAAAATTAAAGAATCAATGACTTAGCAATGACAACAGAAGACAACAAACAGTAGCTCCATTTAAAATGATGTAAATGTTTTTAGCATCTGAAAATCAGTACTGTTATGAAATTATGAATTTTCTAGTTTAAATATATCTATTTCCAGAAATAAATCTTTGCTTAGTTTTAATCATTTAATAAAAATGCTTTATCCTCCAAAGAAATAATCTGGCATGTTCACAGTCTATCTTTGTAGTCTTATTATTTTATAAAAATTCTCTGTTCATGGAATATTTTTCTATTTAGAAGTGGACTGCAATTATTTGTAGCATCATATCATATCATATATGCCATCAGACACTGAACTAATATAGTCTTTCTTTTCAAAAAAATTGTTTTTTAATCACAAAACCCACTCTAGGAAAAGATGGCTAAGTAACAACATAAACAGATTTCAAAACATTCTGAAAGGGGTTATAAAAACAGGACATTATCCATGATTTTCCAGTTACTGGCATTTGAGCAACACAATATGAATATTTTAAAATGAACAGAATAATTTTAATTTATAATTTTTCCATCCAAATGGTTCCATGTTATGCCGTATGTAGAGGGAACGAGCTCTTGGAACGGTGCCTTGGTTGCTCCATGAATACAGAAGAGGAAAATCACCATGAATAGCAATGGAAATAACGACCACGCAGAGAACAGCAGTCAGCTCTTAAAGCTGCATAGGTGGAGACCAATAGCCCCCTGCTGGGCTGAATCTTCAAATTAAATCACAGAAAAGTGAAAGCAGCTGTAACCCTACATGGGCAAAATCACAAGGAACAGGCCAGGTATCTCCACGATGAAGGCTGCTGAATACACCACATAACAGCAACCCGGCGTAAGACACAAAGAAATGAGAGCACATGAGCAAAACGTGCAACTCCTGGACGCAAGGAGATTTTTGTCCTTCCAGTTAAAGTCGAAAAAGTGCCAAAGATGATCTTGTTCTTAATCAACATGTGCAAGTTCAGAGTTTATAAGGTTATATGTCAGCATTAATTCTAATGACAGCTGATCCTTCAGATAGGTGACTGAAGTCATTTCATACTAAAGGGACGGTAAGTGTGGAAGCCCCATCCCACACATCTCTTGCTCTGGGAATTCTCATATTGTAGGCAGCTCCCATCAGATCAGGCTTCCTTAGGAATTCACCAGGGAACCCAAGGGCAGCAGGAACCACTAACAGAAACACACTGGGTCGCAATGCTTATGTCTGCAAATATAACTGGCTGCACTTACAGAGAAAAGTGCCTAGACAGCTTCATTCCTTAAGGACTGCAGTTACAAGCTCTATTCCTTTGCACATTAATTTCTTTACTCACCCACCTAATAGTTAATAGGCCCTTACCTACTACATCCCCTGCACCTGTTTTAGTTCAAGACACAGCTTCATCATTAAATTCCTGCAAACATAGGTGCTGACGTTGCAGCAATGGGTTGAGTGGGCATCCCATATGGAGTGCCAAGTCTAGTCCTGCCTGCTCAACTTCCAACCCAACTCCCTGCTAATGTGTCTGGGAAGGCAGTAGAAGATGGTTCAAGTATTTGGGCCCCTGTCACCCAAGGGGGACACTCAGATGGAGTGAATGACTTCTGGTTTCCATCTGGCCCAGCTCTGGCTGTTGCAGCCAGTTGGGGAGTGAACCAGCAGATGGAAGACCTCTCTCTCTCTGTCTCTCATGCTCTGCCTTTCAAACAGGTAAATATTTTTAAAAACTCCTATGACCTAAGATTGACTATCAGGAGCTGACAAGGTAACAAAAACAGACAGAGGGGAACTTCATATACATCCCTAGCGGTGGTGCCGGAGGGGAATGGTTTTAGGGAACACAGCCTCAGAAACCAAACGGAGGAGTGGCTGGGCTGAGCTAGACTGAAGTAGATAGGACATCACTCCAACGAGATAGTCCCAGTGTGTACTCTAACTTGGACTTTGCTGAAGAAATGTCAGAAAAAGAAACACATGAAAATGCAAAAGAAAAACAGGAAGAACTAAGAGAAGTGATGGTGCAGTAAACATTCCCAGGCCTACAAAAATAAACACATGCAAAAAAGATGAAAGTGGTAAGTAGGAAAATTGGAGACAGAAATGAGTTATTCTTGCAAGCAACCCAAAAAAGGAAATTTTACTTTTTCCTAAAACTGTGCATCTATCTGACATTGATTTTCCTAAAATTGTTCGGTCTCCCTGATATAATGAACGCCAGGGTCATCATATCACCCACTACCTTTTGGGTGGATTCATTTTGGAAAGGCAAAGCCAGTGCTAGCAAGGAAAGACAGGCATTGTACAGGAGAAGATGCTTAGAAAACAGCGGAGTTATTAGAACCTGTTACCATCTCAGCCAAGCAATTACAGATCAGCCTGTAGCTGAAACACAAAGCTGTGTTTCCCTGAACAGAAAGCAACCTCAACAGCTGGACTGTGATCTCCGCTCCACAGTAATGTGAGATGACAGACGATGGAAAAAGTAGGAGACATAAAAGGTCAATAATAAAATAAAGATAATGCCCTCAATAAAACAGTCTCCCAACAAAGAAAATCCTGTTTGAAAAATTGAACTTTGCCAAAACTCAATTTCAAAACATGATGACTCACTCTAACTTTCCCTAGGTATGAGCTTTGTAATAAATTAAAATTTGGGTGAAGATGGATTCCATCTGCTCAGAGAAGTGGTATTTCTCTAGTAGCTCTGGCTTTATCACTGGGGAAAGTTTCCACCATAATAATTTGTTTCAACTATTCCATGATGAGTAGAATCTCTAAAAATAAGAACTAGAAAAATATGCAGCTGCAAACAGTGACTAAGGGGCCCCACAATTAAAGGACCTAGATGGAACAGAAATTTGCATCAACTAAACAAAATTTGAAAATCACCTCCAACTAGGCTACCCGACTCTATCTCCCTGATGCACACCTCTCCATCCCTGATTCTTTCCCCACCATCCCATTCCAGCCTTCAGTCTCCCAATTAAGGAATATAAATGAAATGTATATTACTTTCTTTCTTTATTTAATGTGCATTAAATGATCTGCTTTTACTTCATGTTGCTATATTCTAAGTGTTCGGGTACGTATTATTTAGATTTTATGGACTCTTTCTTTCCAAAAATAATCTTAGAAAGTTAAAAATAAATATGATCCTACCTGTCTAATAAATAAAAAAATTTCAAAAAAAAATATGATCCTCTGTTCAAGCATTTGAAAGTTTGTGGAGGGGCTGGCCCTGTGGCACAGTGGGTTAAGCCGCTGCCTTCAGCACCAGTATGCCATTGGTGCAGCTGTTTGAGTTACAGCTGCTCCATTTCTGATTCAGCTTCCTGCTAATGACCTGGGAAAGCAGAAGACAGTCCAAGTGCTTGGGCCCCTGCCACCCACATGGGAGGCCCAGATGAAGATCCTGGCTTCAGCCTGGGCCAGTCCTGGCTGTTGCTGACATTTGGAGAGTAAACCAGTGATTGGAAGCACGCGCGTGCACT